ATGGCTTCCCGCTAATATCTGCCAAAATATACAAATTAGACAATTTTTGTTTAGATAAAAAATGAAGATCGTATCATTATCTACAAAAATGGTCCCTACTATTTTTTTCGCAAGACGAATATTTTTTGCAAAAACGGCTTTCGAAAAAGCCCGAATTTTTGCACTGAATAGAAATGTTAGTTTCTCACTGAATTTCCGCTCGAGGGAGTTGGGAATACATTGATTTTCATGTTTTGGACTTTGGAGACCAATTGTAGATGGCGCCAGCGGCATACCTCTGCTCACTAAATTATGGGGCCTATTAATGGAAATCCGGGCACCAATCGATCTTTCGACAATTATTGGCGGATTCTGCGGGATTTTTTCTATAAAGTAGCGCTTGGGGTATCTCATCTATATTGCTGAATGTTCTGTGTAATTTGCGTTGCAAAATTTAATAGAAAAGTGCAAAAATTTTTTTTTCATGTGGCAGTCTCAAATCTCGGCGCTTTGCCTAATAGTGGGTTACTAGTTTTAGAGTGTGATGAATATTGACCCGAGAAGACCCTTTATATTTTTTGCGTCTTTTGCAACATTTTCGCCAACTTCTATCGGAACAATATAGGTCCAGAATTTCAGAAAAATAAGAAAGTTTCTGAAAAATTTCTTTTATTATGAAAAACATGTTGAAAATACGAAATACATAGCAATGCTTATAATTTATCATACGTTAAACCATTCAGTGTCATCAGAATCATACTCTTCATCGTCTTGCTCTTGCTCTATTCCTTCCCCTCCTCCACGCGTCATTTCCCCCTGTTTTTCCAACCCCTGTGTTGCTGTCTCGACAGCTATTTCATCCTCCTCCTCCCCTTCAACCCCTTCTGGGTCTCGATCCATCTCTAATTCTTCCGGGAAAATACCTTCATTTTTGTTATAATTAAAACACTGTGTCGACTGACACGAACCACAGACAGGCGAGCATTTCAGTCCGGCTTTCAAACGTGAACAATTCTTCTCGCAGCCTGTCTTGCACTGGCAAAAAATAATCTTCAAGAGTTCCGGGGGGACCGGATCCCTTTTACACTTAATTTCATTAATTTTTCCGGTAATTTACACTCACTTTGTAAAGCAAATTTTCTAGAAGTGCCGCTAAAAGCTCTGTATTTAAAGGGCTTTCTATTTTATGTTTGTTTTAACCTAAAAAAAAGAGTAACATTAGTAGAAATAATTATATGATAGATATAGCAACAAAAGGCTTACCTCAACCCCAAATCTTCGATATATATTCTCATTTGTGTTAAATATAGAAAAGAAAAGTAATCATTGTTTATTATTGTACTACTCGAACCCAGAATCGTGAATTTTCTTTAAATATACGAAATAAATATACAGTGAGCACCATAAGTCTTACCCCCCCCCCCTATCTAACTCGTTACTGGAGTTTTGTTAGGAAAATCGCTGAGACACGTCGATTTTTGATTTCTACAATGTACGTTTTTGTATGAATAGTTTACCCTTAATTCCATCCCTTACTGGAGGGGAGCAACCCTTTCGAAAAATTTAAATGGCATGGGGTGGTGGGTGATAGCTCATTTGAAAGAGAATTTTATTCTCTATTCAACCATGTAAAAAATTTTGAAATTTGCTTCATTAATTCTCGACTAATTGTTGTTTCAGAATAACGGAAATTAACGTAGCGCACTCGTAGTTAGAATTAAAATTCGGCCCTGCATGATTTCGGTTTTGGTTCAGACGTGAAGTAAGACTTCTTGCCATTAGAAGGTCACTGTTAGTTTAGTTGCTTTCCTATTTTGTGAGGTTTTGTTATTTTTAAACATTAATAAATCAACACGTAATAAGGCAAATTTCAAAATTTTTTGCACGGTTGAATGGAGAATAAAACCCCCTTTCAAATGAGTTATCACTCACCACCCCATGCCATTTAAATTTTTCGAAAGGGTTGCTCCCCTCCAGTAAGGGATGAAATTAAGGGTAAACTAATCATACAAAAATGTACATTGTAGAAATCAAAAATCGACCTGTCTCGGCGATTCTCCTAACAAGACTCCAGTAACGAGTTAGTTAGGGGGGGTAAGACTTATGATGCTCTCACTGTATAACAACCGACAATAACGACTCCAAAAACAACAGAGATTGTATACCAACAAAAGCAGACGATTAAGGTGAGCTCGTGGCGCGTGGGTACACGTGGTTAGGTTACGATGGAATATCATGGATCTCAGGCGGAGAGCGTAAAAATGGGGGAGATAATTCTAACAAACAGTTAAGAACCACGCTCACATACGGGGATCAATTGATAGAAATGGAAAGATGAGAATATCAGCTTCACTTCGGTCTGGGTATTAATGTTCAAAAAATGAACAGCGGGGAACAAGAAGTATTTAAAAAAAAGTCCGGTTTTCCCTGGTGTGATCAATTTTCCCGATTTCTGTAAAATGGAGCAACTTTATTAAAAAAAAATACATTCGAAAAGTAGACACTCTAAGCTTTAAAATGGTGTGCATTGAATAACAATATAATGAAATATGAGTTTTTAATTACTGCTTGTTTCAAAGATTTCTAGAACTCCGAAAACGTATGAAAAATGCAAATAAACAAATCAATTTTGTTTTAAAACGCCAGGAAGATACTGAAAAAAAAAATCTGAGATCATTCGAGACATCTCAAGATCCCATTTAAAACAAAAATGGGATAAAAAACTATTAAAAGAAAAAAAATATGAATGAATTACTATAAAGTGGTCCAAAATAGTGGGAAAACGCAACTTTGACCCCTTTTTCAATGTTCTTGACAGGAAATAACGGGCTTCAAGGCACATGGATGGATACCTATGGGTTTTCCCATTGTAATGAACTTTGAATCATCGAATAATTATAATTTTTGACCGAGTTCTGAAACAATTTGTCCACCCTTTTACAAGCTAATCAGCATTGCTATAGAGATAAAGCAGGGGCTGAACGAGGGGACTTTTGATTGCGGTTATCTCGAAACCTGTCGAATTCCCAACAAAAATGATAGGGACCATTTTTGTAGATAATGATAAGATCTTTCTTTTTTATTTAAACAAAAATTCTCTAATTTGCATATTGTGGAAGATATTGGCGGGAAAGCAGTTTTAGGATCCATTTTGGGCCCTTTCCGATGCAGCAGAGTTGGTAAAAGTTTTCGACCTTGGAAGCGACCGCCGAGACCTAAGAGTTGAGCCACAACGAAAACTGGACCGACTTAATGACAGGTTGGTCCCTTCAGTTACTGGACTACCTGCCATTTACAATTTCATAATTATGTTGTGGTAACGTTGACGTAAACTCAGATATAGGCAGTTGGAGTTCTTGCTCTAATTTTCGTATTTCCAGTTTAGTTCTATAATTCTTCAGTTTGAGGTATTCAACTTGCAACGTGAGCTTTTCTTGTTTTAAAGCAGATGCATTGTCTGTACATGCATTGTTTGCGGTAACTCGTTTTCGTTTTTCTGCAAACAAACAAATTTAATTTAGTTGACAGTTTTATGCGGCACTGATAAAATTCAACCCAGTATATGTGGTATATTATAGTAAAATTAAATATGATTGTGTTAAATTTAGTATTTTTATTTATTTACGGGCCATCAGCAGCTTCTAAACATGTTTATTAAGCCTAATTTAAGTAATAAACTAGAAATATAGCTGCTTTTCATATTGCTTAAATACACTAATATGTTTTCTAGTTATGTTAGCCTCGATGTTAGCTTATCATAGGTTTCTTTGGAAGTAGATGGGGTCACGTGTTCACTGATTGGTCGGCTTTTGTTGACAATACCTTCAGAGTCATCTTCTGGGATTGTTTCACATGACTGTTCCTGATGTTTTTCGAACGACTCAGCTACTCCTAGTCCACAAATTACAGGAGACTCTTTCCAAATTATTTCTAATACCATATTATCAACTTCAATTAACATTCCTATTCCACCGGTTCCAGTTTTCTTCGCATTGTCAATTTTAAGCTAGAAATATATATGTACCACAAGTCAATAACATAAACACTGCAAGTTACAGAATTACTCACCATTGCAGTTTTCTTCAAATTCTGCCACATTGTATCCCTTACATAGGTCCAATCCTTATCTGCGGGAAGTAAATAAATACTTTGGGCCATTATTGCCATTTCTTTCCACTTTTTTATTTTATCTTGCTTTCTTAGTTTGTCAGAGAATGCACCGAAAAGAATGTCTCTATTTTCTTTAATCTTATTTAAAAATTGCATTTTACGTGCAAAAATAATTTGTTTTGAATACATTTTACCTAAGACAAACGCTGTAACAGATGCACTTAATATGCCGCCTCCCGCCTACTTAAATAACAACTGTCTCAAGCGTGTCGTGACAGGTCGGGAGTCAGTAGGAATAATAGTTACTTATGTAACTACATATGTACAAAATTATTGAATTTCTACAATTTTAGCCATTTGCATTGTGATACGGAATTCAGTAGGACTTGTAGTTACAGGCAGATTACTTGTAACTTGTAAACTTGTTACAATTGTACAGTTTGTATTACAGGCCCCTGATATTTTGACTACCAAGAGAAGTAGAAAGAAAAACATTTGAGTGATAAATACAATCAGGATAATATTTTTCTGCAATAGAGGGTTTTAAAATTGATTTTGTGCAGCCTGTATCTATTAACATTTTTAATTTGGGATTTTCTATTACTATATATGGAAGTGGATTGTTTGAAATGATATTACATTCTACTACGTCATTTCTTTATTCGAGGCATTTATTTGAAAATTTGCATTTTGGGAATACTCATCGATTTGAGTTTCATCTTCATTATTTTTATTCAAGGTTGGGCGATAATCAAAATTGTCTGTATTTTGATTGTCATCATAATATTAATTTACCATTTTGGGTCCAAACCCTTGAATTTCCATATTTTTGACGAGCTTCTTTGAAGCCATTATATTGTTGTTGAGTGAGATCTGCATTAACATTTATCCCTGTTTTGTTTAGATTTTTCTTAGACCTCCTTTCTTTCTATATATGTAACAAACTTTACAATAACAGATCTTGGGTTTTCGTTTTTCTTTGATTTACCCAGCCTGTACATCTCATTAATGTATCTTTCTTCACATTTTACTTTCATACCTTGGTTAATTAGTTTTAAAATTTTATCGAGTAAATATTCATCTTCTTCGTCTGCTAACCCTTCGAATTTTAACGTATTTTTCCTTTGCATTAAATCTAATTGCTCAACTTTCTTTTCATTTGCTAAGAATTTTGTTTCTTGTAAATGAATTTTTTCTTTTAATATATCCAAATTACCTTTAATTTTATTTAACTTATTTTCAAATTTTTTCAATCTTTTTTCTATCTTATCGAAAAGTTCATTATTTATATTTCTCATCATGCTCTCCAATTGGACTGGATCCACAATTTCGGATTGTGACAAAGCTCGGCTCTTCGGCATAATTCAAATTTCCTCATAAATAACTACACTTTCCTGGATTTTTCCTTATTTATTGAAAACTGTTCACGTACAGTATGTAGTACAACAATTTTCAGATATTTTTACATGCAACTTCCCACTTTAAATTAACAATTTTCGGGAGCTTAACAAACACGTGTTTACAATCGAGCGAACATCGATATATCTTGTTGTTGTGTTACAAGATCCACTCGGCTGTTTAGCTGACCTACCTCTTGCTTAAGGTTTTCTTGAATTTGCTGCAAACCATTCATAATTTTTACCTCAGCTTTTTTACGCCTCTCTCCATTCTCCTCTTCTTGCCTTTCCCTTTCCTCCTCCATCTTCAAAAACCATGCTGGGGTACCTGAAGTATCCATGCCTGCTTCGTAAGTGGATCTAGTATTTACCATGAACTTCTATTTTCTATCCCACCGCTGTCACCAATGTTACGCAGGTTTTTGGTATCTCAATTTATTTCAACAGAACTTTTACAATAACTATCAACTGATAATATTAACGCATAACGTCTATCATAAAACTGAAAACTGACGTCAGGATCATCGACTTATATAGCTTGATTTAACCTTCTCGAACTGTCCAGATTATTCTTGACGTGGAATGACATTTATCGAATATTCTTTCTTCTTCTTTTACTCGTACTTTTACTTATGACGATCGCAGCACGCTGTAGGGTGATGGGTGACATTCCTTCTTTCATTCGCACGTTTCCTGCTGCAGGCTACTGCAGGGTGCTGCGTAACAATACAATATACATGGCACGTTACATTTTTAACGTGACCTATTGGGGTTCGGTGCCTTTACCACCCCTAAATGGTTTGTATTTGTTGATAACAATCATAGAAGTAATTTTTTTTTCATGCCTTAATATTAACAAAGTTTAATTTGTAACGTCTTTTGGACGGCTTTGAAGATGGTTTTGTTAAGCCGAAAGCGCTTAGCCTAATTTTTAATAAAAAAATTCAATTTTTACACATTGTACCTTTTCCACTTTCATTTAATAATATTCTGTTGATTTTTGTTAAAGTTATGATATAATTAGTGAAGACGTTGTTTGATAGGAGTAACATTGACACATTCTAGGAGATTCTAAATATTAACTTGTTTTAATATGTACGTATATTTCAATAACATTTTGTATATTATATCACCTGTCATACCCCATATGCGTTCACTGAAGAAGAATCTAGGTATTTTTATAAATTTAAAATATTCTATTTCTTAATTGCATTATAGTTAATACTTGGTCTCCTTTTTACAGATTTTTCTTCAGTACAAAAGAAGGAGCAACATATCAAGTACCATTTCAGAAAAAGCTACGTGATCTGTCAAATTTGTGGAAAACTGACAATAAAACATTCTGAATACCTTAAGCACTTTATAATTCATGTAACAAAAAAGACACCAGTAAGATGCAAATTCTGTCCTAAAAAATTTACAACAAAATTTGTTTATTTTAAACATTTACTAAAACATAAAAAGACAACTAAACATTCCAAATGTAAAATATGTTTTAGCACTTTTTCAGAAAAATCAATCAAAGCTCATAATAAGCAAGCAAAATTATCTTGCAATTATTGTACTAAACCATTTTGCATAAAAAGTCAATTAACTGTTCATTTACGATCTCATACTGGAGAAAAACCTTTTCAATGTGCGGTCTGTTTGCACAGTTTTTCTACTAAAGGAAATTTAATCAAACATTCAAGAACTCATACTGGCTCTAAACCATATTCATGTAAAACTTGTTTAAAACGGTTTTCTCGTCCAGATTACTTAAATAAACATTATCAAACAATCCACAAAGCCATCTATGAAAGCAGTAATCACAAAAATAGGACACCAATAGCTTTTAAAGCGTTTGAGAAAAAAAATGAAGAAGAGGTTGAGTGTGGAATTTGTTCCAATAAATATCCGTCCAAACAGTCACTGATTTCACATATGAGAGTTCACAATAAGGAGAAAAATTTTCAATGTGAAATCTGTTCAAAGACATTTTTGTATAAAGGTAAGCAGTATTTTAATTTAGTAATATTCAAAATGCAACCAGATGTAATGTGAATATTGTAATTCTGAAGCTCAATATGGTAAGCAATAAGACCTTGTTAAAATAACCCCGATTGAATCAATTTCTGATGAAGTTTAGAATTTTTTAGGATGATTGTAATAATTTGGAGATAACTGATGAGAGCCGGAAAAAAATCGCGTGCAGCACCGTACACGTGAGAGAAGTAAAACTTCTTAAAAACTAGAGACTAAGAGACATTACAGGTGTGTGTGTGTGTGAGAGAGATAATAATTGATTAGCTATTAGACATTCCAACGATAGTTGGAGCGATGTAATTGACATTTATATAAATGCTTATATAGATTGCTCAAACTAGGTATTACATGCGGCCATTTTGTCTGTTCTCTCTCTCCACTCTACTCTACCTCACTCTACTCCCACTCTACGCTACTTTACCCCCACTGTACGTTACTCTACCCCACACTCTGTCCCTTACTCTACCCTACTTTACCCCACTCAATCTCACCCACTCGTGACGTTATCATGGTTACATGCGTTACACCTAGGGTTGGCACCTTTTTGAAAAGTAAATAAATGACTACGATGCTGACAGGGGCTCTGGTATACAAAAAGTCCTCATCCTTCTATTGAGCTTCTAAAAACAAAGTCGCCAAGCTTAACAAAAAATAGAAATCCTCCTCACCATTCTACTGAGCTTCTAAAAAAAAGGTCCTCAGCTTAAACAAACCATGTCCCTTCCAAAAAAATATGTGCTGTAAAAAAACGCATTTGCCGTAAGCCGTCAAAAAGGACCTTTTAAGCTTTAAAAAGTCACAAGGACATTTTGCTTCAAAAAAGGACTGTCCTGTTCAGAAAAGGCCTGTCTTGTTCAGAAAAGGACTGTCCTGTTCATAAAAGGACAGGTGGCAACCCTAGTTACACCTTACATGTCCTTGAAATTTCGGACCACGTCTACTCATCAAATATCGAACCACGGTTTAAGAAATTTTACTTCAAACATCGACGGAGCAGATTAGTTTAGGCTGAATTAAAAAAAAAAATAGATTATTAATTGCTAAACACGAAACCAACAACCATGGTTTGCTCTGGTTTTACGCAGATGTCAAAATAACAATAAACTTTTGTGCTAAATTTTTGGAGTGAGTCCAAACAAAGACCACCCTCGTTATTGTTAAATAGGAGGCTGTCAGCTTCCATTTGACACAAATTGTGTCAAAATAGAAGCATCCTTTGGATAACGCACTTTCAAAGTTGTTGCTATCGGGGTATCAAAATGAGTTTACAAAAGCTGAAACTTTATATGTAGGGTAACAAATATCCCAGCTAGCACAAAAACATCCCATCTAGGTTAATAAGCTGCAATTTTAGTCTCTTTAAGCTCACATGCGATGTACTTTTAATGTAACCCTAATATCCCTGCAACCACCGAATGTCCGCAACGGCAAGACTTTTATAGCACATCTCACAGAAGTTATAAAAGTGAAGTTCAGAAAACATCACACTAGCACTTTTACGGTACTTACCCTGAAAGTTGCTCTGAAACTTTCTATAGATGTTATCATGTGAATTAGTTATACAGCATTAAGTCCACGGATGGACTTAACTATACTTGTGAAAATATTTATTTTAAATTAAAAAAGTAATTCTTCATAATTTCTTTTACTTGTTAAATAAATCCGATTCACATTAAGAAATTGTGAAAAATAACTTTTTTTAATTTAAAATAAATATTTTTACAAGTATAATAAAGTCCATCCATGGACACACTATATTGTTCTTTGTGTAATGTAATACAGAGAGGCTGAAATTGAGGTATAGTAAAAACTCAATCGAGACATGGAAATTTCAAATAAAACAAAATATTTATTTATTAAAATGTTCTTGAAATCAAGTAGTAATATCACAAAAGTAGAGGTAGGTATATCACAAATGCAGTTACACATGTACGATAGTAGAAGCCACCTATAAAGCACTGAACGATTGGACAAAATTTGCTTAATAGTATAAAGAAGGTATCAATATTACAAAGGTTTACTAGAAGCCTAAACAGTGAACGATTGTACAAAAGTATATTTATATAAGGTACGTTTCAAGATGGCAATTGTATGATGCTAAAAAAAACTAGATCTGTGAATAATAGATGATTGCAACAATGACTTAGGTATATATCATAAGAGATAGCTGAGGTTCCAGATTGCTTACCTGTACTCGCAGAGATATATCATCTTTTTAAAATCAAACCTTTTAACTTTTTTTTTTGTATAGATATTTATATATTTTTATTTTTTTAGTTTATTATTTATGCAAAGGTGAACAAAAATTATTTTATTCTAACTACATGTGGCTTGGAAATATTTTTATTTATGCTATAATGTAACATAACTATATGACAATTTATTAGAAGAGGATAAATTATATTTTTATATAAAATGATTTTACTTTTCCACAACACATTGAATAAAAAAGAGATTGACCTACTTGTTTAACTATTATTGAAGGAAATTATATAGAAAGTAAAAAAATATACTCAAGTTTAAATCGTTGCACTTATTTTTAGATAATTTTGTCTTATTTTGTTGTTTTAAATAAAACCTCTAATGTTAGTGCATTAATTTTTTTTTAGAATTTCAATTAACAAGATATTCTGATGTATGCTCGAGGGCATCGTCTGTGATTTTTCTCAAATTTTTTTTTAGTTTGGCACTTGCTTGAATCTGATGTTTTTTTTTTTCAATATAAACGTACCATGTAGATTCACTTTTTATAAAACTTCAGATGTCATATACCTATTCTTCACAAGTCTGTAGTATTTATTTTGCTTCTAAAATTCTTAGAATGTTTTCAAGTACAAAGGAAATCTAAAATACAATATTTTTAAAATGTATTTTTAGTTCGATTAAGTATATTATTACCCAGAAGTTTGTTACATCCTTAGTAAAGTGGAATCACATAT